AGAGAAGCTAGTAGGAAGGGAGGTTCTAACCTATCTCCTAAGGGTGATGTATGTACGAGACCCCATGGTGTAAGAGTCTCTAAACACAGGGTAACGCATCACGCTCATCATCCACCTTTCCATCTTCCCATATCCTCTGTGTGTAATGTAAGTGAGGTTTTTTCCTTGCATTAATCCTGTCAGAAGGGTTCCACTTTATGAGTCATCTCCCTCCAAAGTGCTCTGTTCAGTGCCATATCCTCTGTCACACCACATGCTAACATGCCTTTCTTTAGGACATCCCATGACTTCTTGGGTCAGCTTCCTCTCTTTTCCCTTCAATCTTGATCTCTTGGACTCTCTTACCCATGTAGTTGTCAGGACCGACCCATCTGAGCCTGAACTCCCTCATTTTTTCATTCATGGATGTTACTTTGAGCATGTCTCTAACATACACATTCCTCGGGTGGTCTTTCTCACTTAGACCACTCATCCAGCTCAACATTTACATTTCTGGGGAATGGATCATTTGCTCATGTTTCTTCTTTGTTGCCCAACACTCACTGCCGTACAGTAAACGTCGATGAACCAGTTTTATAGACCTTCTCTTTTAATCTTACTGGTATCTTCCAATTGCATGCTATGCCACTTATCTCTCTCCATTTGAGCGCCATTTGAGTTCTACATGTCGTAAAACTGGGTTAAATAGTGACTCTAAATAAATACTAGCAGTTGAAAGCCTGTGCTGTCGCACAGGAATAATTCCTAATGTCTAAGCCAAAAATGTCTGAGAACTTAAAAACTGCACTGTAACAGGCAGCACATCCAAATGATGACTGAAAGTAGAGATACTCTAAACATCAAGAGCTCTCAGCCATGCTTGTAGCTGTTTCCTTCATTTCACACTGACTCTACAGACATCCTCGGCTTGGATGTGATGTTTGGGGTTATTGTGTATGCTGGTTGTGTTGCTGTGTTGATTTGTGTGTGGTTGTGTTGTGCTGGGAGAGCTATGTGGATTTGCACAGGGGGCATCTGGGCCTACGGGTGTGTCAGCTAGTCCAAGTAATCCGCCCTCTATGCAGTCTTCCTCATACAACCAATGAATTTGTTGCATGCAAGTTAGCTGTAGAATAAAGGTGGTGACTGGTTGAGTTTCCCTGGATATCACAATGGTCTAGGACTCTAGGACTCTTGGCAGGGCCTAAATACATGCCTTACTGAACTCATGGGAGTAATTCATAAATTCAAAATGGCTGAGAACTTAAAAACTGGATGGTAACAAACCACAAAACCTGATTATTCCACCGGGTGCTATTCTGAACAAAAGGAGCTCAACCACGCTTGTAGTCACTTCCCTCCCTTCCCACTGACTCAGCAGACATTTTAGGTTTCAGAGTGACACACAGAATGACATTCTTGGAATCTTATTTTATAGATTTAAGACTCCAGAGGTGAGTTACAAAAATTATAGAAAGAATCTTTATGAAGAGGAAAAGATTAATCCTACTGAATTTATCTGAACCTGCCTGGGTAAAGTGGGGAGTGCGAACGCTAGTTTAGTCTCCTGCCACAGAATCTCTCCCCACCGAAGCAGAACATCATCGTCATAATTCACTAGCATTGGCTGAACAGACCCAAAATGCTGGACATTGTTACTAGGTCCTTGTGAACAGAGCAGCCTTTACAGCTGTCAAAGAAGCTTTCATGGTTGTCAACTACACCACAAATGAACTAAAAACAGCTTATGTTGAGAATAGATTCACACCTGAGCCCATTTGAGAACACTGCAGGATTATTGTACATGCCATTAGAGTCAATTATGTAGTTATTTTATGGTATAACACTTCATTTTGTTAAATCCTAGTTACTTAAAAAGTTGACTAATTTGTCTGTGCATTTCATGGCAATTAGTTAATTTCTGTCACTGTATTAAGGAGTTCAAGATCACAGACAATCAAATTAATCACCTCAGGAAATGGAGGTGACTTTTCAAGTTATTTACCGAGGAATAACAATGAGTTGGTAGGACATTGGGGCATTTGAGGTTAATGTCATCGGAGTTATATCAATATCCTTGGGGTCAATGAGAGGCTTCAAGGTAAAGTTCTGCAAAATCGTTGTCAGTAGCAAAAATAGCTGCATCCGAGCCAGACCCTCTCCCACGCAACTCCGTTTCCCTGCAATGAAAAAGGAATATTGAAGAGATGCTGGAGATCTTTCTTTGCAGCATTTTACATGCTGTTTCTTTGGATGGAGGATAATGGAAGTCACTCCAAGTTCAGGATGGTAGGAAAGCATTTGGGGCTTAAGAAGCCATTCAAAGATTGTTTTAAGGTTTGAGTTCCATATATAAAGTGGTCTTTTAAAATCCAGTTTGGGGAAAGGGTTGGGAAGATGTGGGATTTGAGGAATAGCTTATGCACTTCCCAAGTTGGCTAATAAGTGTTAAGGGGGAAGTAATGTGGTGGTTATTGAGTAACAAGTAAGGAGGTGCGGGCAGGATCATGAGTAGGTGGATGAAAGAATAATTGATCATGCATTCATTTACACCAGACAGACACCAGAAAAGCATGAAGTTGCCAAGCAGACAAAGAGAGGAGTATGTGTAGTGCATCCGAAAAGTCACTTCAGACAGCTAGCAGGAAGTAACATGGCTTAAAGACTGATAGATGTTTTACTAGCGTGAGAGACTCTGCTTCATGGACCACATGAAAACCCTCTGCAGACAGTGTGAGCCAGTAGAGTCATCAAGGCAAAGCTAGAAGACAGTCTGGGATCTGAAATAAACATGGATAACTTTACCTATAGAAAAAGGCATGAAGAAGTCACTGTTCTTGAAGGCACCATTTTCATCCAAGAAATGCCCTGGGTTAAATTGCTCTGGCTTTGGAAATTCCTTGCTGTCATATAGGACTGACTGCAGTACAGGGAATATAGTGGTGCCCTAAATTAGTAAACATATAAACAGAGTTAAAGTGGATACTATCCAAAGCAGAGAAACCTTCAAAATTCAGAGCTGGACAGTGGGACCCATCTTGATTTTTCTTTATTTCCTTGCAGCTCCTGAACTTCATGTTTTCAACCAGAAGTAGAAATATTAAAATTCCATGAGAAGAGCTAATCCCACTGAAGTTCCATCCACAGGCAAATCCTGAAATCTCTTCAGAGAGATTGTTCCTATCTGATCACTATCCTGAATTCAACATCAAAAAGTTTGGGGAGAGTTTGGCTAAGATCCAGAAGTTTCATTTGGACCTCTGAGCTGATGCTCTGAAGCATTTGAGGTTTCCTGGTCAAGATACCGTATTCATCACACCAACAGTTTCCCCATAATTCATAATTAAGCTAAAAGCCCCATGCAATTTTACAGTGAAACTCAGTCAGCAACCCCGCCCCTGAGTATGGTGAGTTCTGGTGCATTTTAACACCTCAACTGGTGCAGAGTTTGGTGGAGATTAGAACTGGGTAAAATTTATCCACCAGAAATGCAGTTTCAGATGATCCAAAACTATTTTCAAATTTGACCCAATTAGTTTTATCTGGGAAAAAGTTATTCGCTTCAGAAAACACATATGAGTCGGGGTGTGTGTCTCCCTATAACTTTTAGGCCAGAGGCTAAGGTACTTGGGATGTGAGAGATGCAAGTTTGAATCCCCAATTTGGAGCAGCAATTTGAACTCAGATCTTCCCCCCATCCAAAATGAGGATTTTAACCTCCAAGTTCTCAGATATTCCAGGATAGGCTCCTTTCAATCTGTCCTTATGAAGCTGTTCCACTTTTTATTAACATTTAAATATCCACTGAGCCAGTGAGAATGACTCTATAGCCTGGTGAGAAAGGCACTCCCCTGGGAGACAGGAGATGTGGATTCAAATCCCTCCTCTGAATGAAGCAGAGGGAAGATTTCAATCCATATTTCTTACCTCCCAGGTTTTTGGCCTAATGGGGTGGGGGAGAGGGGGAAGACCTGCGCTTCAGTATCTGGTAGGGGGAAGACCTGCGCTTGAGTCCCTGCTTCACTGAATATTTAAGTATTGATACAAAACAGAATAGCTTCAGCAAGAGAGATTGAGGACTCACCGCAGCATAGTCTATAGCCTGGTGCTTAGGATACTCACTGGGAAAATCTGAGTTCAAGTCCCGGCTCCAGAGTGGAGGTACAAATCTAGGTCTCCCACATTCCAGGAAAGTGCCCTATCCACTGGGCTAAAGCGTTAAAGAAGGGGGATAAAACCCACACCAAGATTTCTGAAGTAGACCAGATTTTTCCAACTTGCTGACAAATTGCAAAGATTTTCAGAAGTTAAATGAATATTTTTTCTGATTTTTTTTGGCTTGCTGGCTGAACTGAGCTCAGTAACTGGCATCATCTGACTAACAGTAAGAGCCCGACTCAATTTTACAGAAACCTCAGCCTTGAAGCGTGGTTTGTTTTGTGGTGTGTATTTATCTGTACTGGTTTGCATTCAATTCCAGAAATGGGCAAAGGTGTGGGGAGCTCTGATACTTTTTAAACTTATTACTCATTTGCATGTGCTATTTTGTTTTGATTTGACCGAACAGTGTCAAGAAGTTTCCCCAGAAACACTCTACTTTGGCCCCCCAAAAGAGGGCAATGATTGCACGCATTGGTGTGATACCAAAATCTTAGCTGCACATCGTTGCTAAAGTTATTCTCTATTCCATAGCTTACTGCTTCGCAACTAGGCTCTCAAACCCTCTTCTGGATGGAAACCCTAACCTGCAGACTATGAAAGTCTGCTCAGCTGCATACAAGGGCTTGGAAAGTTTCAATATAATTGGTACATTCCTGGCAATTATTTAAAACTCCCATCACACAAAAACTGGCCAAACTATTTCTATTGTGAACAACTCAAAATTAAAAAGAGAAAAAGGCAGAAGAACTGGCCCTTTCACAGAAACACAGAGAACTGACCTTGGGGATAATATATTTTCTGAAATGAGTGTCTCTTGTCACAGCACGTGGGATACCAAGAGGGGCAAGAGAGACGAATCTCTGGGTCTCATGGACCACAGCATCTGTGTAGGGCATCTGGCTTCGGTCCGCCATGCAGGGGCTTCGGCTTCGGCCGATCACACGGTCAATCTCTTCGTGAACCTTCTCTGTCATCAAATTAATGAGGTTTAACACGAAGACTAAACAACAGGATTCCCATAGATTTGCCCAACAGTCTGTCTCTCTGCCCGCAAAACACAAGTCTCAACAGATGGACATTGGGAATATAACAAAACAGGTCAAATTTTGTGTTACAGAAACTACTGTACTTTGCAGCTATGACAAAGGGCCAACAATGTAATTACAGGGCAGTGATATTGTTCATACCTGGTTCTGTTACTAACTAGAGCACAATGTAAAATTATCACCAGTGCATCTAAATATCTACTAAGCAAGAGAGTCCCAAAGCATCTTCCCCAACCCCCGCCCCCGGCCATTTGCTAATATGAAGTTGGAATTAGCACTGGATATAGCTGGTTTTTTTAGCACTGGCAGAGCTTTGATTTAAGCCCTTACATGATCCTGTCCTCTCCAAGCCCATTAAATCCAAAGGCAAAACAACTTTGCCTTCATTCAAGGGGAAGGGGCCCGTTTGACAGCCCTGGAATGTGAAAGCATCTGTTACCCACAGAACAGACACAGCCTGGTCAGTGGCAGTGCAGGCTTCTCTTTTACAAACACTGCAATTAAACACCCGTGGCTGGCCATGTCAGCTGACTCAGGCTCGCAGGACTCAGGCTACGGGGCTGTTTAGACGTTAGGGCTCAGGCTGGAGCCAAGGCTCAGGGACCCCAGGAAGAGGGAGGATCCCCAAGCCAAAACATCTACACCGCAGTTAAACAGCCCCGTAGCCCAAGCCCTGTGAGCCAGACCCAGCTGACCCAGGCCAGCCACAGATGTTTAATTGTAGTGTAGACATACACATACACTTCCCTTATCAGAGAACCTGAATGCTGATCTGGATTTGAGAGAGGAATTCAGTCACAACAGCCCATTCAGCCTTTGGATCCTCTCCTCAGATGGCCAATATAGGGACAAGTAATGCCCATTGTACTGGTGCTTTTTGGATGAGAACTTCTGCCTGCAGGGGACTGGAGTAAGAAAGTCCCCCAACACATCTTCAACTCACTTCACATGAACCAAAGAACATCCACCACATGGCAGTCACGCAGGTCACTG